TAAGCCCATACTTATGTTGGGTATTGAAGCCAATAGCCAAGAATACAAACACAGAGAAAGCAACATCCTGCTGGGCTCGAGGAGCTTACAGCCAGGAAGAGAAAGACCCACAGACGTGCAGTGTGGTAGGGCAGTGACAGAGGGGATCTGAAGGAGAGAGGACAGAACTCTCCTGGCCTTGGCTGTAAGTTCCTCCAGGGCAAGGACCCTTCCAGCATGGGTCTCTGCCCCTTGGCTCCTAGAACCAGCTGATTCGGACCCACAAGGAATGTCTGCTGGATGAGCAGACTGATTAGCAGATGGGGCCAGTGTGCCTCATCTCCCTCCTCTACATGCCAGTAACTGGAGGAACAGCCCCCAAAGACACAGCTGATGGCTACATATCATCATTACTCCTAAAATGCACCTAAGTAAGGGCCCACGATATTAAATGCCAGTGGCAATTCTCCCTCCCTTCATTCTGCAGACTTGATCACATGACTTTTACAAAAGCAACTTCACTCAGATTCAACCATTCAAAATTCTCTGGAGAACAAGAAGGGAAGGAAAAATATTAACTGACAAATTGAAAGGAAACCTGATATGGTACTTACATGGATTTGTTAAAGTTTCCAACGACCCCAGGGGCCTCACCAGGAGTCGGGTAACGGAAACAGGGGTTGTTGGCATTGCAGATGATTCCCTGAACCCAGGGAAGTGTTCCTGCAGAGGGCATGGCTTTATTTGGAAAGTGGCCTATTAAAACCGAGAATTAAAAAAAAAAAAAAAAAAAGAGAAACGTTAACTCTGTTAAGTAATTTGGAGACTCTACCCACACAGCACTTCATCCCAAACTTGACTATCCATTCCCCACGTCCCAGATTCCTGCCTCCTCTAGACTAATTTATGACAGAGATGAAAACCTGGCATCAGATAGCAATTCTTAACCGATTTAACATCATCTAGAAAACACAGTTCATGGCATCAACCTTGGAGAAGTGATGAGAAGGGTCTAGATTGGACCATGTACAGAAACCCGGCTTGGAGCAAGTCCTTGATCACCATCAGTTCATCTTCCACTGCCAGCCTCACCCCAGAGACACAGAGGGGCCATGGGAAGATGCTAAAACAATTCCTTAATGCTCCAAGGAGGAAACTAAAGTGGCTGATGAAGGACACTCAGGGAGCCAGCCGGCAGTCTGGGAGTAGAGCCCACACCGCCAGGATCCCATCCCAAGCCCCTTCCTCACACCTGCAGCCCCCTTTCTAGTCTAGCTCTTCTTAGTCCCCTCTGCTACTCTCCTCTCATCAGTTTGCCGAACATTTGTTAGTTTCACCTCCTCTGCCAGCTCAAAAGCTCCTCAACAACACCTAAAGACAAACGGACTGGTGTTAGATGTCCGCCGTGAACCTTCAGGTGTGTTGTTATTATGCTGTCATGCTTCAAAACAACGAGGCCCTATCCACTAGGGCACCTTGCTCTCCTCTCTCTTCTTTACAGCGAGCTTCTTCCAAATAGGATGATTGCGGCTGGATTCTGGGATTCAGTTTGGCACCATTTGGTTTAGGACAATCATTCATGGGTATTGCTTATGAGGATTGAGATAAATGTGCTCTGGGCCAGGGGCTCTTAACCCAAGGGCCTGTTCATGTTTGGACAGAAAGGCTATAACTCCAGGTTTCCTCATATTCTAAGGGTTACCTGTGACATTAAAGAAGAGGTGACAGCCATGAAGAGAACCACTCCCCTAGGTGGTGAAGAGCAAGCAGCACTCATGGCTTTGGGGTTAAGCCCAGAGGGATTCCTATCCAGTCCCTGCAACTTGCAAACAGCAACTCTGGACAACACACTGACTCCCTAACCCTCCATTTTCTCATCTGTAAAGTGATCATAAAAAATACAATCCAACTTCTCAGGCCTGTGGTGAGGATGACACAAGGTCATACAGGCCAAGTGTACAGACCAAGCACTTTTGCATAGTGGTGGGCACCGCACAGAGTCTCAAGGAATGAGCCTATCAGGATTGTCCAGACACTGTGGTGAGCCTACAATAGTTCCCGCTCTGCTCTGGTCCAGCCAGAACGTCCCGTCCATTTCACAGATACCACCTTCCTCCAAAGCGGGAAGCCTGTTTTACTTACCTTCCTATTTTCATGCAAATATGCAAACAAAGTCTCCCCAGAAGTTAACCCAAAGCCAAGCCTTCCTACACTTTGCATTTCAGTATCAGGGACCTTCTATCTTTTTTCTTCTATCCATACTTCAACCAGAAGGGAAACATCCAAAGAAAGGATGTGACAAGATGACAAGATTCGATCACAGAGGCCATCCTCTGCGGGGACTCTGGCCTGCTGAACATTTACTCAGCTAATCTCCTTATCTCCCTGTTAATAGTTCAAGGAAAACCAAACAAGGGCCCTTGCCTAAGTCAGCTGTTCCTCATTCGGGGGAGATTTATGTAACCCAACCAAATACTCGAAGGACCAAGAGATTCTGCTCTTTCAGTGCCAGGAGATACTGACACTGTGGACAGGGTGATGTAGGTCAAAGGCAGCTTAGGACAGTGATGGTGAAGGTATTTCAAGCTATCCCCTGGTGGCAGAAGCAAAGGCTCTTCCTTGTATGTTGTGACCATCTTATCTGCAAACAAAAGTAGGATAAGGAATAGCGCTGGGTGCAGAGGATGACAGCCAAATATCATAAGGGACTGCCATAACTTAGAAAAGTTACTATAACCTTGATGACTCTGGTATTAACTGGAAAGAATTTTACCCAGCCCTTGATTCCCAGAGACAAGACACTGCTACAAGTTGACTTCAGCTTTGAACTCTGTCCTAACCATGTCACTAGACAGTGATGAGCCCAGAAGGCAAGGTTGCAAAAAGAGCATAGATGTAAAAGAAAAGTCTTGTCTGCCTTCTACATACACAAGAATTTCAAAACAT